GGTTCATCATCGCTGTCAGAGTCAACCACTGGCTTCTTGGGAGCAGTCTTGGGTGATGCCTTCACTGGCTTGCACACAGGTTCATCGTCGCTGTCAGAGTCAACCACTGGCTTCTTGGGAGCAGTCTTGGGTGATGCCTTCACTGGCTTGCGCACAGGTTCATCATCGCTGTCCGAATCACTACGAACATTCTTCGTGGCGGCGATGAGAGCAGAAAACTTGAGCTTACGTGCAGCAACTGTTACACTTGGGTTGGCGTCCTTCATGGCATTCGCAGCCTCAGAGTAGTTCGCTTCCTGTAAATAGCGGAAAATCTGAGCATCCAGCTCGTCCTTCGGCAGGCGGATCACAGACATTTTTTTTCCCTAAAGAAAGAAGAAAATTGTGGAAAGAATAAAAAATGGAAAGGAAACAAGAACCAAAGCAACTATATATATATATAGGTTCTGAATAATAATAAAAAAAAATTACAGTGATCACCAAATACGATGATGTCTCGGTGGTATGAGACAGAGTAAGCAAAGAAAAAAAGGAATAAAAAGGAATAAAAAGGGGGAAAAATGCTCAGAGTGTTATTTCATTGCGCGATAAAACCGCAAATTCTCTGACAACTAAGAAAAAGAAACGTCACATATTACTGTAGTTCGTGACAAACTATTTAGAAAGAAAACAAAAATACCTACAAAAAAAGTAAACATCCACATATCACCCACACAGACACAAAGTCATGACTACATCTACACGGGAAAATGTAGATAAATAAATAAATAAATATATATATATATATATATATATATATATATATATATATACACTTTCTCCTCTTTATAGTTGGGATGCAAAATACAATAGAAAGGAATATACAACAGAATTAACACTTTAAACTTTCACAAACAAAAAATTTCGCCACACCAGGCAAAACACACCGGAGTAAACATTTATTGTAGTAGTGACTCCGTTTAGACATTATCGATGTGGTCAACAGGTTCAACAGGAACATTTTCAGTTGACTGGTTGGTGTCCCTGGGGACAACGTAAACTGCCACCAGTTCCTCGTGTCTGCAGGAGCCTCGACAGTTCGGACAGCAAGCAGCTTCTGAAGACCCTGACATCCTTAAAAACCTACGAGAACAACTGGCACAGATCCAGTGACCACACGGCCACCAAATCAGTTGTCTTCGAAAACGTGAAACGCATACATAACACTCATTCACAGGGACATCATCATCACACTCCGAGGAACATTCATTCCCATCACTTGCAGCACCAAAGGGTTCCGTCTGACCTTCTACAGGAGCAGCTCTCCTTCGCTGCGACTCAAAATACCGCTTGAGAATCTCTAGACGCCTTTCCGCAAAGGCATTTTGACAAACCACTCCATTCGCCCAGTCCTCATCTTCCAATGGATACACCACACGTATACTCAAGGGGTTCCCCACCAATATATTTCCAACTTCTTCCTGCAGTTCACCAGTATTATTTGAGTCATTATTTCTCCTCCACCGACCCATGGATAAACAATTCAATATTCGATCTCTGTCATTCAAAACGATTAAAGAGAAAGAGAGAAGTAGAAAAAACACCCCTGCAGCAGTGGTTACAATGGAAAAAGGTAAAAGCACCTTTGATTCCTCTGGAATGGGTCCAATTCTGACAAGGTCTGACAAACGTGGTTCCAGTGACCACCAGCAG